TTATCAATTTTAAATTTTAAATAATTATTTTCAATTTTTTAAAAATTTCCGCGAATTTTGAGACCTCTTGCCATTGGGCGCGCAGAACTTTTGTTCTATGAGAGATATGAAAAACAGTCATAAATACTTTTTTTGGCAAAATGGCATTGTGAAAATCTTTTATTGAAACTTTTTTCCATATCTTCCGTATTTTCATTTACATAATCGTGTTTATAACGAAATTTCCGATAAAATGACCCATGTTTCAATAATTTTCTCCATTATAATGTACTCTTTAGCCATTTCCCTCATTTGACTGCACTATTTAGTTTAAAATTCGTAACGGTTAGTGCACTTCGTATACGTGCCGCCTCCGCGATAGAAAAATACATTTTCTGCAAGTAATTAGAGATCTATTGCTTACTTTGTTGGTGTAAAGCCCATCCAGTGAATTTTAGGTTTAGCAACGAATGTAAACAACGAAATGACGACACACGAGTCTTGTTCCTAGTTTTACAACATATTTACTTACTTATACGTATGCATAGGACCTATCTTATTTAATTTTTTTTCTTATTGGACTACGTATAATAGTATAAAGCTCATTAATGCGGAAACCGTGACCGTCGTTGACATGTTCCACTTATTCGGTGACGAACTGTAAATCCGTATGCCCAGATCACGAACTTCGTTATCTGAAATTAAAAAAATGTTGTTAATCAAGACTAGATACCCAGTTAGTTACATCAGTTAGTACACTGTATGATATTTTTACAACTTTTAAATTATCTCTTTACAAATGTTGGTAATGATTTTAACAAATGGTAAACATGGCGGACGAAAGTTTTCATAAAGTTGATCTAAAATTCACGGAAATTGTGTAATTTAATCTATATGTTACCGGAAATGTATACAATTCCTAGGTAATGTATATAATTCCGAGATTATTTAGAAAATCTATAAAATATTGTTTCAAAGATTTATGGGAAGATTTGGATATTAGTCAAACATTAAAAATTTACAGTCTATTTCAATTTGTTAGAATTGTGACCTTGAAGAAATCTGCGCGAAGATAGAAAGAATACACACTAGGCGTGAGCAAGACAGAAATAGTTAGAACAAGCTTGAACGAGCAGAGCTCTCGGCGGGCGGTCTTAGGAGATCGGCTAGAACTGTACAGTACTAGACGAAAATGTTTAGCAATATCTTAAAAACAAAAACGTATATAAATTGACAATAGAAAGCAAAGCAAAAGTTTTATAGGTGTGTAGAACGTTAAGTTAATTCACTTGTTATTATTTTTGGCTAAATATGCTTTTAATTAAAACATATTCTTAAATTTTAACGAGACGGTTTACATAATTTTACAAACGGTACTGTACACTTTTGTCTAGTTCTCGTTCGATGATCGGTGGAGAAATGAGCTCCGCAGACAAATATGATTGAATTTGGAATTATGTTACGACGCATCCTAATAAAGGGAAGGGGCATATCTCTAACTTCTTGAAACGAACAGTAATGGTTATGATACGTCATTAGGATGCAACTAACTATACATCCAAGCATAGCTATTTAAACCAGCTCACTTTTTGCAATTGTTTAGTTCCAACTCGATTACGATTTTTAATAATTAGAGTTTATCACACTGCGCTAGTCGGTAGACACCTATGTTGCAATTTCACACACAGGATCGGCTTTGGATTGTAAATTATTACCGTCCATGTTTCGCACCCGTACAGCTCCGCGCTCCAAACGTACATCTTTAGTATATTTGTTATTCGATTGATTTTCATTTTGGTTTGAATAAAATTATTATAAAAGCCAAATATCAGGATATTGTGCAAAATACAAGTTACATAAGTTAATATGAAATATTAATCTGAAAATTCATTTTTGAATTTTTTTTTTACCCACTACACGCTACCTCAAATTAATGAGGGGATCGTTAGCCGTGTATGTCGGTTGGTCGTTGTTGCTGTTGTCACCTCTCGTAGTTTAGTGGTGAGAACATTGGTGCGTAAAGCCAAAGGTTCCGGGTTCGATTCCCGGTGGGGGTATGACTACAGCAACAATTTTTCCCTCATTAATTTGAGGTAGCGTGTAGTGGGTAAAAAAGATCAAAAATGAATTTTCAGATTAATATTTCATATTAAACTAACTCACTTCTAAAAGTTTGTATGTTTGTTTACATAAGTTAAATTTTCACTCAAAAAGGAGTAGGTATGTACTTATTTCTGAGCATTTGATATTTCTGCAGATGGTACAGTTTTGACGGTAACTTTCATCTACAATGTTGGTACATTTTTTTAATTGATTTTGCTTCGGACTGTAAATTATTATTAATTTTTTTGCCCTTAACTACGCTACTAAACTGTTTTTCTGTTACGCCCTGCATTTAAATTTCTAATAGTTTCATACAGTAAAGCCAATAATAAAAAATTGGATTAAAACATCTCGTTTTAAAAACAAAGCTGTTATTAAATAAAAGGATCTAAAAAGATCTAATGAAAACAGCAGTCAGGCTTTAGTGTTAGGGGTTTTACAATTCGTCTAGTGGGGTAGCATCTTCTCGAAATTTCTTATGTTGAAGATAGTATTTACATTTCATCTATCTCCATTCCATTATAGCAGTTGGTAACGTCTAGTAAGTATATTGTACGTACATATATATATACACATAGTGGTATTTGAGGTGCAACCCAAGTACTTACCGTTGTATTCATGCCTGGTCTGATGTATTCCGTCGGGGTAGGTCAGGTCTGAATTCCAAAAGGAAAGTGGCCGTGCATTACCAATGCGATGGTGGTGCAGTAGTGGTTGGTTGGTTGGTTGGTTGGTTGGAGTGCATGGAAAAAATTACCAATTTTAATACGGGTGCTGGGGGAAATGCATTATCGCCAATTCCAAAGCATATGCAAAGCCAAGCGAAATCGACAAGAGGGATGTATGTATGATATGCGTATACGGGGTGATGTATTAAAAATGGAACGTACGGTAATTGTAAGGAGAATTTCTAGAATTCGTTAAGATAAGAATTTTAGTTATATCGAGCAGTTTCTTCAGTATTTAGTAGAGCTGTTGTCTAAGATTTGAGATACATTGTTTAGCAGCTCGTAACTATACTCTAGAGCCTAGACAAAAATTTTCAGTCTCTCTCCAGTCTCTTAGAGTCTTTCCAGAGTCTTTAAGCGTCTTTGAGAGCGTCTCTCACAGTCTCTCAGTTATTGCAAATACCTATCTTGCGAGCAACCAAGCCCGGATGCGATCAAATCCAAACTCAACCAGCCCATTTGGCGTCCCGTAAATACAAAAACAAAAATACTCCCGCGCACGCTCTCGCGCTAATTCTAAAGCGTCAGTGTTCAGTGTTGTGTGAACAAAACTAATCAGAAACTTTCGAATAAGATAGATGCAACAGTTATTACGTGAAACATCCATGCAGGCCGGATGGTTCTCGTGTTGCAACAGACCCCTGCTCCTGATTCCGCAATCACGGAAGTTTCGCATATTTTTTCACATCCGCTTCTGCAACTGATTTCGCATTTTTATAATGGAAGCTTACCGGAACTTTACGAAATCTTATTTTTCATCTTTCTTAAAATCAATATATATCGGAATAATAAAACAAGTCGTAAAAAATCATTACTTTTATCTGTTGGCTGAACTTGATTTTCAGTCTCTCTCCAGTCTCTTAGAGTCTTTCCAGAGTCTTTCAGCGTCTTTGAGAGCGTCTCTCACAGTCTCTCAGTTATTGCCTAGGTGTTTTTATGGATCTCTCACAGTCTCTGTATGAGAGACTCGAACGATAAAATTGTTAATTCAGAGATTCGAGTCTCTCACAGAGAGACAATAAATAAAACTGAAAAATTGAGAGACTCGAGTCTCTCGTAGAAAGACTGGGATCTCTGAAATATGTTGAACTTAGAATATCTTGTTCAGAGATTCGAGTCTCTCGTTCAGACTGGATACGAAATGAGGATCTCTCTATGAGCTACTCGAGTCTCTCGTTCAGAGACTGGATACGAAATGAGGATCTCTCTATGAGCTACTCGAGTCTCTCGTTCAGAGACGCTAAACAGTTTTTTTGACAGTCCCTCGACAGTCAGTAATGTTTGATCTTGTTTTGTGATTATTTCAGTCAATTTGATCATGAAAAGATTAGTTTTCTTTTGTACTTTTAAAGTCCAGGAATTTGTTATCAAACGATCGTAGTAAGCATCAAACTTTAGTTTCTTAACACTTAGTTAGTTTATAGTGGCAGTATTAAGCTTCTCTTTCAAAGTGGCGAGAATTTTAAAACTGGTTCACGCGGGTCATTTTCAATTCGTACGAACACCGGATGCACTTCGAAAAGGGCCGATATGGTATCCTTCTTTCATTTCCCATCGCGGAAAAGCTACTATCAGATAACACACTTCCGTTTCCTTTCAAATATCTGAGCCAATAAAATTTTGAATCCTTTGTACGAATTGTACGAAGTTGTACTTAAGGGACTGAAAGTTTCAACAAGCACTACTGGAAATTTGAAACGTATAATAACCTATGGGGAATGAGGTAAAAAGAGCCTTTTAATTGTACCTTAGCTAGTCAGAAATGATATATAATTATTTAATAAGCAGTAAGTCCTACTTTTAAGAATGTAAAGAGAGGTGATCGTTCTCTAATATTGCAAATGAAAGGATTGTGTTACGATAAATTATGATGCAAAAGCCTTTGATTCGACCTATGGGTTAGGTAAATTAGTGACAAGCAAAATTTGCCTTAGTCTTGCAGTCTCTTTATACTAGAAAAACCAAGATCAAGGCCTAAGGAACAAGACCAACACTAGAACTAAGTCCGAATGACAAGAGCAAGACCAAAACTAAGACTGAATATGTAAGACCAAGACCAAATACGCAAGGCTAAACGAAAAACTATTTCGTTGGGTGTTATGAGTTAAACTTTTTATGCAACTTTAATATATTCTTTCCTTGGAACAAAACATTTGTAATATTTAAAAATTTCAGTTTGTTTTACAAGATTTTAACACTAAATATAAAAAAAGAAACTTTACCACTATTTGATAAAAGGGATCTACAAGAATGTCATAGGAGTAAGCGTTCTTTGACCCTATATGCGGATAAGTCATGGTTAAAATACAGAGTCAAACAAATTTTTATCGATATTTTTTACTTGAACAAGACACCACACTGGGACAGTTATGGTATTGCTTTGTTCATCACTAAGGCTAATTGTTCTTCGACTATATATTTGTTCATCACCATCATAAGGTCGTCAGTCCTAAGACTGGTTGGACACGCACCTTTTTTTTCCCAGCCTGAGCAAATCTTTGTATTTTCCCAAAAGTAGAACCAGCTACATCCTTAACTATTTGCGAACAGTAATCTAATCTAGGTCTACCTCTACTCCTCCTAGCTCCCGTTTCTGTCTCTAATCTGTCACTGACTAGACCTAAACCTTCATGCCTAAAAAGCTGTCCTACCAACCTATCTTGACTATTTTTTATTGATTTTCACATAGTCTTCTGTTCTCCTATTCTTCCTACCTCCTATCCTCATTATTCGCCTGTAATAGCACATTTCGAACGCTTCTAACCTTTTTTTTACAGTGCCGTACTCCAAACATATATATCTTTAATATATCTGTTATTCGAATAAATTTTAAATATTTTGATTTTCATTTTGGTTTGAATAAAATTATTATAAAAACCAAATATCAGAATATTATGCAAAATACAAGGTACGTTAGTTAAATTCTTACCCGAAAAAGGGTAGGTATACACTAATTTCTAAGCATTTGATATTTATATAGGTGGTACAGATTTAACGGTAACTTTTATCTACAATATTGGTACGGTTTCCTGATTGATTTCGCTGTTAAACTATATAATTTTATAGTTTTCTAATTACAGATTATTTTTCGCGATAATTTTGCTGTTTCGTTACTCAATTATTATTTATTTGATTTCTCGTAGTTAGATTAACCTTAACAGTTACGAAATTGTTTGTTAAACCAAAACACATTACAATTTAACGATAAGTTTGTACAACCTACATTGGCATTAACCTACCCTTCTTAAACACAACTGTAGAGTCAGTTCAAGTTTATCATTGCTGTTACACCTGGTGTGACTGTTGTGCTAACGTGCCTATTTATTAACATAACCTGAAACAAGTGTACATAGTAGTCGGTAGCAGACGTTTCGTGATTTTCCTTAAATTATTTCGAAGATGAGCTTTCCATCATCCTGTCGCGAGCAGGAGTGCTCTCGCTGGCGCGGCATTCAAAGTTAAAATCGCTTCACTAATTAAATTGATTTGCCAGGACAAATACCTATCTTGCGAGCAACCAAGCCCGGATGCGATCAAATCCAAACTCAACCAGCCCATTTGGCGTCCCGTAAATACAAAAACAAAAATACTCCCGCACGCTCTCGCGCTAATTCGAAAGCGTCAGTGTTCAGTGTTGTGTGAACAAAACTAATCAGAAACTTTCGAATAAGATAGATGCAACAGTTATTACGTGAAACATCCATGCAGGCCGGATGATGCTACTATGGGGTGGTTTGGTTCTCGTGTTGTAACAGACCCCTGCTCCTGATTCCGCAATCACGGAAGTTCCGCATATTTTTTCACATCTGCTCCTGCGTCGTACAAAATCAAGTTTACAAAATCTTATTTATCATCTTTCTTAAAATCAATATATCGGAACAATAAAACAAGTCGTAAAAAATTATTACTTTTATCTGTTGGCTGAACTTGATTGTTTTTAAAACACAATTTAAATGATATTGCTCGTTGTGGCGTTGCTTATTGGGCAGGTACCTACACCAATTATATTATTTATTATTTTATTTTGTATAGTGTTTGCTTACTGTTGTAAGTTTTAAGTTAAAAGTGCAATTTTGAGGCCAAAAAAAAATTATACTTCTGCTTATAATAATAATAAATAAAAGTAAAACAAAAATGCTGGCATACAAGGGAAGAAAAAGTAGGGAAAGAGCGAATATAAAGATAGGAGACGAAAAATTAGAAGAAGTGGCTGATTTTAGATACCTAGGAAGTCAGATAAGTGAGGATGGAAGGAGTAGTAGGGATATAAAGCAGAAGATAGCGCAGGGTCGTGTCGCCTTTAATAAAAAGAAGTCACTTCTATGCTCGCAAACGGTTAATTTAGAAATTCGAAAAAGGTTGTTAAAGATGTATGTTTGGAGCACGGCGTTGTACGGGTGCGAAACATGGACAGTGGGCGCGGCGGAAAAGAAAAGGTTAGAAGCGATCGAAATGTGGTGTTATAGGTGGATGATGAGGATATCGTGGGTAGAAAAGGTTAGAAATGAAAAGGTATTGGAAAGAATAGAGAACTCTATGGAAGTCAATAAAAAATAGGCGAGATAGGTTGGTAGGACACCTTCTGTCATTAAGGTCTAGTCAGATACATATTAGAGGCAGAAACAGGAGTTAGGAGGGGTAGAGGTAGACCTAGATTAGATTACTATTCGCAAATAGTTAAGGATGTGGGCTGTTTTAGTTTTAGGGAAATGCGAAGTTTAGCTCAGGATAGGAAAGAATGGTGGTACGTGTCCAACCAGTCTTAGGACTGACGACCTTATGTTGATGATGATGACCCCTCCGTTGTATTACGATTTAGTTGTTAAATGTACTGCTAGTTGCAAACGGTCTTTGTTGCTGAATAATTTTGAACAGCTAACTAATACGAACATTATAAACGTTGACGCCTCATAGTAATATACAAGACGAGGTATCTTGAAAAAGAAATAGAAAATCGTGATCTACCAACTAAACAAGTATTTACTACAAGATGTATTACGTTATGTGTTTATTATTCCTGCTTGTAATATTTAATAATTCGGGCAGAGGTCTCGGTTAATATAAGAACCACCTATTTCGTTGAAAATTTGGTACGAGGTGCGGTAATTAAGTTTTGGGAATTTGACAAATTGGAAAAGGCTTCCTAATCTTTCCATAGCACAAGCAGCGAACTTCTCTAGAGGTACTTCCATGTGGATTGCCCACATTTAGCATCGGAAATGGAAGGACTTCTGAAGAATGCTAGCGAAAAGTTAGGAAGCAACTCCAATCGACGACGACTTTTAGACTCGAATCGGAACAGCATCAGGTTTTAGAAATTTGTTAATAAAACATAAGTGAATTAATTTTTGTTCAGTAGTCGTCATGTAACTCTATGACGCCTACTTAATGAGTATTTTTGTGGGGGAATGTCACTTTTGAGATTTGTTGTGATACATCAAAATCCAGCCTTTCTCTTCTGCGTTGCCCCAATTGCTTCAGGATGAAAATAAAACAATCTAATCACTATCTAGTCGGAATACTAGCAGCGGATATGGAAAAAAAACTACATAGTGGACTTGGACATTCTAGATATCGTTGGTTGCTCTCCTTTCACTTCTGGCCTTTCTTGATGTAGGAATTTTGGAGAAACACTCGTTCCCATATTACATTTTCCAATTCGCCGCGAATTTCAGACGATTTTTGACCTTTCCGCTAAAAATTGCATCACGACATGCTGTTTGTGATTTAAGTCATTCATTTTTGTGACACTACTATCTACGAAAAACATCAGATAAAAATACAGTTTGCAACAACGTGGGTTCAAATCCCATAACGTTGAGAGTTATAGCTAAATTCCTGAAACTTAACTGCTATATTTTGTATACTGTACTATCAATACCTTTCTCTTATCATGGCACGGTTTGAACTTCATCGTTAGAAAAGAAAATCCTTAAATAAAAAAATTCAAAAAAGTAAACATNGTGTATCACCCTTGAAGGGAATTATGTTGAATAAAAAAAACGAATTTTGCAAAAAAAATGTGTTTTACTATTTTAGGCCGGGGACTTTTCAATTGACCTGTTAGTTTGCAACAACGTGGGTTCAAATCCCATAATGTTGGGAGTTATAGCTAAATTCCCGAAACTTAATTGCCTTATCTCGTATAATGTACTATCGAAACCTTTCCCTTATCATGGCACGGTTTGAACTTCATCTTTAGAAAAGAAAATCCTTAAATAAAAAAATACAAAAAAGTAAACATGGAGGTATATTAGTATGATGACCCATTTACTGTATATACTAGCTTTTCCATTCAAAGCAATGCATAGAATTGTAAATGTGTAAACGAACAATTATACACAAATATATTAAATATTGACCTGTGCTGGTTGTTCTGAATGTGAAAGGGTCGGAAAGCGGACTCCATCCGAACTTGTTGCGTGCTTGGACCTTCGCCTCGTACCTCTGTCCCGCTTCTAGGCCCCGGATCACGTAGCTCATGCTCTGCTTTCCCGGACCTTGGGACGGAATTGCCGGCAGTATAACATCCCTCCAATCGGACCGTCTATCTATATACTGACGTCCCACGGTACCGTAAATGTTTCCCGGGTTGTAATACGTGGATGACGGAGAAGACAATACTGACGTCCGGTTTTCCTGTAAATAAAACATTAGGGATTATTGGGTGTGATAACTCTAGACAGTCTGGCGTTTTTAAAACTTTTCCCGTGGAAAACGATTTTCCTTTAAGGGAGTCATTTTTTGATTGTAAATTCACAGATGTTTCGTTATCGTTCTAAAGGGGGTGGCAAACCTTTCAAGAACATTAAGAAAATTACATCATTTTAAAGGTAGTTCCATTTTTTTTTACCACGAGTTCGCGTTTTTTGAAAATTCCATTGTATTCGTAGATGAAATAAAAAAAAAAAGAAGTTCTCAAACAAGTTTTATTTGATTAAATGTTAAAATTGCATGCCATTCACTTCCACGTAGAAATAAAACTTTTGTACAACATTCTGTACAACATTTTACAGTATTCTAGAGGCTATTTCATTACATTCAGTCACAATTTGGTGGAGCAAATTGCTTAAAGAGCATTGTAGATAACGCTCATTCAATGGTCACATATGAAAAATCCAATGGTGTTAAATTTGGTGTATCTATCACTTGATCCTCTCCCGTGTCATGTAATATTCTTGAAGGGGTTGACACATTTTTTAGAAGGATGAGTTTTCATCCATGAATTTACAATTTATTTGAAAGCAAAATTGACCAGTTTCAGGAAATTTCAAAGAAATAGTTACAATGCGGACGTCTTGTATTGTATTATATTATTCAAGAATTAAATTACGTTCGATAACCATTGTCAGTTCAACGTCTTCCTTTTTGTATGATGTCTGATTGGTGCGTTCCAATTATCTTATTCATTCATCATCGTTATCATACAGTCGTCAGTTCTAAGACTGGTTGAACACGCACCTCCACTCCTTCTATCCTGAGCTAATCTTCGCAATTCCCTAAAACTAGAACATCCCACATCCTTAACTACTTGCGAACAGTAATCTAATATAGATCTACCTCTACCCCTCTTAACCCCTGCTTCTGCCTCTAACATGTCTCTGACTAGATCTTCATGCCTGAGAAGGTGTCTTACCAACCTATCTCTCCTATTTTTTATTAACTTCCGTAGAGTCCTCTGTTCTCCTATTCATTCTAATACCTTTTCTTACTTTCTAACCTTCTCTATCCTCGGTATCTTCATCATTCGCCTACAGCACCACATTTCAAACGCTTTGAACCTTTTCTTTTCCGCAGCGCCCACCGTCCATGTTTCGCACCCGTACAGCGCTGCGCTCCAAACACACCATTAACAATTTTTTTTTGAATTTCTAAATTAATCTTTCGCGAACATAGAAATGACTTCTTTTCATTGATAGCGACTCGACCCTTCGCTATCCTCTGGTTTATATCCCTACTCCTTTCATCCTGACTTATCTGACTTCCTAGATACCTAAAATTAGGCACTTCTTCTAATCTTTCGTCTCCTATCTTTACATTCGCCCTTTCCCTAACTTTTCTTCCCTTCCATACACATATTTTTGTTTTAGTTTCATTTATTTTCATACAATACTCTTTTGTCAATATCGCTTCTTATTCATTCGTTTTATTTGAAAGTTAACCCCGATCAATTTCATTAATGCCTGGCCACGTAGGTCGTTTAAAACTTGGAAATTGTAAATCTCTGTTTATGGGACGGGTAGGTTCCGTTTTATAACTCGGTACGAATATTGCGTAACAACAACTTTTCGGGATCGTGCATCAGCATGATTTTTGCTGGCGATTGTATGGGGTAACACTGACGGGAGGGGCGGCGGCAGCCATGAATTATACGAAGGTTAGCTACCGATTGCGAAAGGTTTGCTTTATTTCCGCGGCGGAAAATGTTCCACGGACGCAATTAACCGTGACTGTGAGTTAACCGCCCCGTTTAAATTAGTCGAGTTTAGCGGTTTGTCGATCGTTCAATGTGCCGTGCCGCTCGACGTGCGGTCAAACCACCTCGTTCACAAAAGTCGACAACATTTGTACCGATTCGATTGCAATTATACGCCGCATCTCTGCCGTTTACTACTATTCGTTCTTCTCTCGTTGTTGTTGCTGTAACTATTTTTGAAACACGTAAAAATACATAAGTCGGTTACTGGGTTACTCCACTGTTAGAATAAAAGACTTGAAATTCTAAAAACAGGAGTTCCCGTGAACGTTTATTCCGTTTTCTTAACTAACAAAGTATCTATAAAAGATTTTTAGGCGATCAATTTCGATCTCATTAAAAAATATTTTTGTTTGTTTAGTTTTTACTAGAAGTAAGTAATTCTTTGTTTTTAACGTTAAGCACTCCTTGAAGGATATATTGTGGTTAGTTTTGGTTTTGATTCATACTTTTACGCATTCCTAAATTGTCTCAATCATTGTGTCTCTAGTATTCATGCGCAAAATGCTCAGATTTGAATGGAAATTTTGTTTGTTCAGAACAATAAATTTAAACATACATTCAATTTAGACATCTCTTCGAAGTGAGTTAGTTTAATATGAAATATTATTCTGAAAATTCATTTTTGATCTTTTTTACCCACTACACGCTACCTCAAATTAATGAGGGAAAAATTGTTGCTGTAGTCACACCCCCACCGGGAATCGAACCCGGAACCTTTGGCTTTACGCGCCAATGTTCTGACCACTAAACTACGAGAGGTGACTACACCAACAGCAACAAGACTTCTAAAAGATGTTCGACGGATTTGTGGCCTAATAAGTACGGTTTGTCGTTGTTGCTGTTGTCACCTCTCGTAGTTTAAAGATCCCGGGTTCGATTCCTAATACTAATAATAGGTTCATCGTAAAATTCGCCTTTCATTATATTTTTGACAATAAATAATAAATGGTTAAAATGTTAGAATACTTTTTAACCGTTGTTTACTATAAAGTTTTGGAGTTCTTAACGGGGTAAGTTTGTGAGGTTTCTTGATCATTATCATAAGGTCGTAAGTCTGGCTGGACACGCACATCCACTGTTTCCTGTCCTGAGCTAATCTTCGCATTTCCCTAAAATTAGAACAACCCATATTCTTGATGTTTGAGTAATAATTTCTTCAGAAGATCCATAATCTCAAGAATCCCCATAAACCGATGCGGTTTGTAAACCATATGTCATCCCCATGTCTCATGCCTATTTCGCATGGTGGTTGGAATCTCTGTTAAGGTATCTGTTGATGTGGATGTGTGTCCGTTGATTTAAATGACAGACTACAGAATCACACTGAAGTTTTGACCTCCGAATTATTACACTGTTGCAGACAGTATAGGAAAACAATATAAAGTTACAAACATGTTGAACAGAATAAAAGAATCGATAAGAATTAACCATGTTTAATAAATTTTGGCGATAAAAACTACCGTAATATTCCACAAATAATATTTCATTTCGTCCGTCTCAACTTTCTCACTGCAATCACCATCCATCTATCCCGAAATTCCTTAAAGTAGGGTTTTCCGCCCTATACTCCAGCGTAGCCCGGAGGGACTGGCCAACTACTCAAAAAGAAAAGCGCTTCTGGCCAATTTGGGCTAAATCAATCGTCTACTTTTGGCAGCTGTTAATATCGACGAAATTTCGAGAAGAAAAATCTCCAAAAGAAGTCCCACAAACCCGAAAAATAGTAGCAGTTTGAACAACGGCCGCGAAATCCTTAAACAGTTTAACCTTTCAGAATGTTGTTAATCAGATGATATCAAGTGATGATGATGATTCTTAGTCTTTACATCTCAAAGATGCTTTGCCTTGAAAATTTTCTTTTTTATTGGGAATAAGAAAAAGTTAACAGGAGTTAGTTTTTTCGTCAAAAACTGGTTAATTTTTAATGTTATGTGAACATAGGCATTATCATGATATCGTAGACAATTCCGTGATGTTTTTCGCGCTTTTCTTTTCATGTTTGGATGATGACGTAGTCTGTACTACTTAGGACTTCTTTGGCAGAAAATTATGGTTAGTTTATGCCTGTTCGTTTAGTTCAAGCTTTGTTATGACGGATTCCATGTTCAAATTTTTAGTGAAAATTCTTTGGAATGAACTCCATATGAGGTTCCTGTTATTTCCTCCAATTCGTCGATTGTTTTGAGACGATCAAATATGATCTTGCTTCGTGAACTATCCACAATCAATTTTTATAGAATATAAATAACCCTCTCTCATGAAATGAAGTCTGTTTTTTTTTTTGGATTATGAACCAATCGATATTTTAATTTTGAATACGCTACAAAATGTTGTAATGCTGCTGATAATTTAATTAGCCTAATAATTAATGGACAAACTTTCATATAACATATCACCGAGTGATTTAAAGCATTTTAACATTTTCTCTGAACTCAATTTGCCGTAATAAATATTTGAATTTTAATGGATTTCCGGTGAAAAGTAATAAATAAAATTTTAATGGAATGACGCGTCGTTTGTTGCTGTTATTATTAGTAATTTCCTGTAGGAAATTGAGTAAAAAAAAAGGACGACAACGTATGTAACAGTCGCAGCAACAATAACAACACAAATGGTTGATGTATTATGATAGTAGAACGGTTAAGTGAAAAACCATTTCTCGTCCACCCGGGAAAATGTAAACGTTCTATGGCGTGCGTCACTGGTGTGGCCCTTCCGGTTTATCAGATCGTTTAGTTTATTTATGCTGACATTATTACAAAATAAATGAATTAATGTACAGTTTTGACTCATGCATTGATGTTTTAAAACGTTACAGTAAAAACATGCCTTCACTTGGTACGTATTACGAATACTAATTGCATTAAGTTACAATATTATACATGTAGAGACCTATTGATGATTATTTCTTAAAAATGACCAATAATGAAATTGTATTTTGTGGGCTTTTACGGCCGGCGAAGACTAATAAGAATGATAAGCTTTGTGAATAAGCTAAACGTTTCAAACTTAGCTGTCATTAAATAATTCGAAGTGGTCTGTATTCTGTCAAAACTGCCAGACGCGGATCGCTATTTCGATTTTTTTGGATCTCATCAGCGCGTCGCAGGCAGCTCCGGCAGAACACAGGCCAACTTTTACCTGCTGTCTTAACAGCGCGTTTTAGAAAATACTACAAATGGCGCGGTAAACGTCACCTGTAGTACGATGCTACATTTTAGGATTACGTATGCTCCAGCAAGGTTTAAATATTTAAATATATGGATATCTACTTTTGGCGTTTACCGCGCCATTTGTAGTATTTTCTTAGCTGTCAATACATTTACGACTGTTAACCTAAGAGTCAAATGATGCAAAATAATGGGTCAATTTAGGTGTTATTTCATAGACATAAAGCTAGAAACTACCTAAATTTTAGAGGTACGTAGTACACTTTTTTCTCCGAAAGGTTCGGCAGTACGAATTCGGCACGTACACAGCACGGACCCGAAACGGTGTAGTGTGAACAACACTTTACTTCAAAAAGTCAATACAAGATATTCATATACCTAAACTACATGTGTTTATTTTACTAACCTTTCTTGTGGCGAGGTGCTGAAGAGGTCTTGCATGATTGTCCTGACCGTTTGCGCCTTCTGGTAATCGCCTAAACAACAATTTAAATTCTTCGATCGGCGATAAAGAGTCCACTGTCCAACTGATATTGTAACTGTCCCTCCACTGACCGGTCGGCGAACTGACAAACTGTGCGGGATTCGGATTTCCTTTAAAAAAAATTAAAAACATATTATTTCTTAGGTTTTCACATCGTGTAACATTTTTTTTTCACTAGTTTTGTTGTTGGTATTATAGAAAAAGGAAAAATTGGGAAAAAAAGGGCGGAAGAATTATTAGCGGAAGAGATCAATTTGGGTTTAGAAGAAATAGAGGAACGCGGGAGGCTATTTTAGCTTTACACGTAATAATTATAGAGACAACGATAGAAAAAGAAAAGAGGGTGTACATAGGATTTGTAAATTTAGAAAAAGCTTTTGATAATGTTAAATGGGACAAGATGTTAAATATACTCAAAAATGTAGGGACGAGTTACAGAGAAGGAAGAGTGATACTTGGTTTGTATAAAGAGCAACAGACAGTTATAGAGCTGGAACAGCAAAATATTAGGAAGGGCGTCAGACAAGGATGCACATTGTCCCCGCTACTTTTTAATCTAAGCGTATTGACAAAACAGTGTTTTATGAAACTAAATAAAAGTAAAACAAAAATGCTGATATACAAGGGAAGAAAAAGTAGGGAAAGAGCGTATATAGAGATAGGAGACGAGAAATTAGAAGAAGTGGCTTTTCGGTATCTAGGAAGTCAGATAACTCAGAATAGAGAAATATAAATTGGAGATAGCACTGGGTCGAATCTCTTTCAACAAAAAGAAGTAACTTCTGTGCTCGCGAACGGTTAATTTAGAAATTCGAAAAAGATTGTTAAAGGTGTGAGTCTGAATTGCGGCGCTGTACGGGTGCAAAACATGAACAGTGGGCGTAGGGGAAAATAAAAGGTTAGAAGCGTTCGAAATATGGTGTTACAGGCGAATGATGAGGATACCGTGAATAGAGAAATTTAGAAATGAAGAGGTATTAGAAAGAATAAGAGAACAGAGGACTCTATGGTAGGATACCTTCTTAGGCATGAAGGTCTAGTCGGAGACATATTAGAGGCAGAAACAGGAGTTAATAGGAGTAGATGTAGACATAGATTAGATTACTGTTCGCAAACAGGACTGACGACCTTATGATGATGATAACTCAATTTTAAGAAGATCCACCGTAATTGAAAACAAAGTAAATAATGATCTTAGTCAATTTTATACTTATACCTACTGCCCAAATTTGATAAATGAGAAATTCTTGGTGTTAAAACTACGTGGTCCATAGAATACCTAATGGGGTGCGTCGTAAAACCCTTGACTTTCCCTTTTCGCAATCTGCTTTGTTATTCTTCGTCGCGTTGGTCGGCTTAAAGGTAAAATAATTCCCTTATGTAGTGCGAATGCATCCCGCGAGACTATTATAAGGGTTGCATTTTGGCGGGATATATATGGAATATTATCCATACTTTAGCGCCCTTGTTACAGAAGTGGTTCTTTCTATTTTATTATTCTGTGTGAATCTACTGAAATGGATTCCACACGACAGATTTCGGTAAAATTTGGTCGCAAACTTCCTGACTCGACTTACTGTTGGACCTCGAAATCATAATTTAATGTTTCTGCTTTTTTGTGAACATGGACATTAAGGGAATGCATTTTTGGAACTTTTGAACTGTTAGATGTACACTCACAGGTAGAGTCTCAAAAAATTTTTGGTTATATGTAGGTCTGATCATGCATACCTACTATGCAGGCTTAACTTAAGGCGTACTTACTACCTATGAGATCAAACTGTTTTTCAAATTAGTGTATGAACTTTGACACCAGGGTTGGACGAAAAATTTATTAAATTTGTAAAACAAACAGTTGAAAACCTTTTTAAACATAAAATATAATTGAGTTGTGTATAACATAATTAAACAAACATATAAAACCCTAAAATTTCATAAAACGTTTCGAAAACGAAAACGTGCTTCAACGCAAGACGCTTATTGTTCTAACAAGGGTAAATGTAGACTACTGAATGACTTTGGTAATACTGAAGTATATTTTTCGGGGTTTGGTTATGTTTATAATAAATTGCACCGAATATGATTTTTAGTGCTACAGGTACGTTGTGATATTTACAGACCACGAAATTTAATTTTAATATCATCATTGTTATAAAATTAGTTAAAGTGTGACAGAGCTAAATTTGGATAATAACTCCACAATCTGCTTGATAAAATTTAATTAAAGATGACATGTCTATTTCTTGTTTTAAATACAGTCTTTATATACACGAAGAAAATGAAAAACGAAATATTAAAGCGATACGTATTTACAATTTATCCCACTAGCCCGTTGCTTCGTTTTTTTTTACTAGGTATTTTAGCTAATATTATAAATTAAATTATAATAATTAAGAAANTACAACAGAAAATTGTAATTTTTGTGTTACCATAAAAATTTAGTTTTCTCCGTGTTATCACATTTAAGTGCACAAATGCATACAATTATTGATTCCACAAGGTATTCCTTTAGGGCCTTCGCTTTTTTTTGTATTGTATGATTATATATTTATTTAAACAATGACTTCAAATGCGTACTTAGATAATTGCATGGTTGCTAACAAAAGCTGTTATGATAGATAGATAGATGAGTGATTTTATTTTCGCCTTCTCTTTGAGGCACTGTCCCGCCGTTCCCTAAAAAAGTGTAAACATCCCATCGCGTTCGTGATCAGGTTTTTTGTTACTCGCCCTACTCAGATTGATTAACAATGAATTAATCGTTACATTGCTCAAACATTATCAAAATGTTATAGCTTCTGTCATAATAAATCCTTTAAATTATTGGTAGCTACTCTTTGAAATGATCAAATAAGATGTTCCTTTAAAAAATTTTCACATTTTTATTTTTATGTAATGTATAAATCTCATTGCGGTCGCGATAAAATCTTTTTAATTTTCTTTTTTGTTTATGTTATCTTTTGAAAGTTTTTATTTACATGCCTATTTTGTCTATATTAGTCTACGCCATTTATTTTTAGGTCTGACGCTTATCAGTAAATCCACTGTTTTGTCTTTTATTTCTCTGAGTCTAAGATCTACGCAGAATCGAACTTTTTAAGTACTATTTTCGGATTTTCCTGGCAGATGTCTCTCCGGTCGCAATCGACCGAGAAAATTGACGAAATGACGAAAGCATCGATTAAGCCAAGGTCTCGCGGCCATTTTCTCGTACTTGTTATCTGCTTTACGATTAGTTAGCGCTTTCAAGTTGTCGTGTTCGATCCGGTATTGTAAATCTTTCGGTGCATCTTTGATGTTGTTACTTAAAGTGCGTACGTGTAGTGCCGGTTTGTTTATAACAGTTTTATATCAATTCTAAGGCATTGTATTTGTGAAATTGACTTGTTTGTGACTGTAAAATTTGTGCAACCTAGGAATTTATTGGATGACGTAAGGGCATGGAAAATTTTTGGTCGACAACAAAATCGATGAAGCTACTGAAAGGTATCTATAAATTTAGGCTTTCTAGATAACTTTTGTTCTTTTGGATTAAGATTTAATCGTTCATAAAATTAAATAAAAATTAAGAGTAAGAAATTCGTAACAAAAGAATTTTGAACATTTTTAGTTATAACGTATTTGTATGGCAGGTAAATATTAGACGTAGTAGGTACTTCAACACTAGGTAATTCTGGATAATTAATAAATAATAGACATTATTCTGATAACGAATCTTATAAATATGAGACTATGATCCTTCCCGACTAGAAATTGGAAGCAGGTTAGTCCGATATATGTGAGGACCTAATAGGGCTGTCCAATTTAGGGAAGTTTCAGTAAGGTCCTAATGAGGATTGAATAAAGATATCCGAAGTAAGAATATACTTGTCAGGTCCAAATCAGAATGTTTACCTACAGTTTATCCTATCAAAGTAAAAAATTGTTTAAATCAAGTTTTCCACGCTAGGATCTTATCAGGATTAGATCATTTCATGTTGGTAAATACAATTAAATTCTGATCAGAATTGAGTGTGGATAAACTTGATTGGCCAGAATTTAAATATCATCAGATGACTATTCAAAAGAAAATGGATTTTCGTTTTTGTTAAATGTCAATTACAATTTTACCAGTCTTTTTATACGATGTCAGAAAAATTTTATCGATAAATCTATAGTTATCTTGAAACTGGCGTATTTTAATAATAAATTTGCAATCAGGTTTTGATAGGGTTCTTTGAATTTCCCTATTAGGCCTTAATTTTTATTTCCTTATCAGGTCCTTCTTAAAAAAGCGCAACAGTCCCACTCATATCCAGATAGGGTGGTCCTTGTCAGGACCTTGTATGTATCGAGGTTATACCCTGTCAGGTCCACGATCATAATGTCTAGTCGGGTTTTTGTTTGTTTATTATATCACTATTTCACGCTTTAATTACCCAACCGATCATCTTGAAACTTTGTACCTAGAAAAAAGTACTGCTCCCGGGGGATATAAAAATTAGCTTTTTTTGTGGTCGTCCATGAATTTGAGTCATATTTAGGACATCACCGCAAGCGAAGCCGCAGGTAAAACATATCAAGAAATTTTGTACACATATTGTCAGGGTGGAAAAAAGGACATAGGGTGCCTTTTATCCATAAAAAAATACTGTTACCGAGGCATAAAGGAATTAGTTTTATGTGGTCGTCGATAATCCTGATGATGATGAAAACCTCATTTATTATTATGCCACTATAATACAATTGCAGACCTCCAAATTTCGTTACAGTTGTACTAATTCTCTTTGTTCCAAAAGTCCAAAATTATAATTGCTTACAGATTAACATACATGGGGGTACATAACATCTCATATATTATGCAGACTAGGATCTAATTTTAAGAACTTATAAAAACATTTTTTCAATGATTTTCCCTTATAGTGAATTGGGAATTGGGTTCCCTCCTTTAGAAATTGATCAATTTATTATACTTGTTATAATGGGAAATGTCACAAGTCCGTTTTACCTGTTAGTTCCACACTTTTTCTCGTTTTCCCCAATTGGTTGTCGGCTACGCAAGTATAATTGCCGAAATCTGATTTGTGCACTTTACGTATTACCAGTATGTGCCTCGACCCATGGGATTCCATACTACGACGTTCTGTTGTATCCAACTGCATTGTATCCCGGTACCAATGAACCTGGAACAACAAAATATTGAGTAATTACTTTTTTACATTTAATCATCATAAGGTTGTCAGTCCTATGACTGTTTGGACACGCATTTCTACTCTTTCCTATCCTGAGCTAATCTTCGCATTTCCTTAAAACTAGAACATCCCACATCCTTAACTATTTACGAACAGTAATCTAATTTAGGTCTATCTCTACTCCTCTTAACTCCTGTTTCTGCCTCTAATATGTCTGACTAGACCTTCACGCTTAAGAAGGTAACCTACCAACCTATTTTGCCTATATTTTAATGACTTTCAAAGAGTTCTCTTTTCTTCTATTCTTCCTAATACCTCTTAATTTCTAACCTTCTTTGTCTACGGTATATTCATCATTCGCCTGTAACGCCACATTTTGAACGCTTCTAACGTTTTCTTTTCCGCCGCGCCCTCCGTCCATGTTTTGCATCCGTACAGCGTCGCGCATACATCTTTAACAATCTTTTTCGAATTTCTAAATAAATAGTTCGCGAGCATAGAAGTGACTTCTTTTTACTGAAGGCGACTTGACTCTGCTTTATGTCTCTACTACTCCTTCCGTCCTGACTTATCTGACTTCCTAGATCTAATCCAATCTAAAGTCAACCACTTATTCTAATTTTTCGTCTCCTATCTTTATATTCGCTCTTTTCCTACTTTTCCTTCCCTTGCATACCAGTATTTTTGTTTTACATTTATTTATTTTCATACAATATTATTTTGTCAATATCGCTTCCATTTTATTTAAAGCCATCTCTAACATCTTGTCCCATTTAACATTGTCAAAAGCTTTTTCTAAATCTACAAATCCTATCACATTAAAACTAGGGGAAGAAATAGACTACTAAAATATTTCACAGATGTATTACTTATTTGCGTTGACAGTGATGACGTAAAAGCGTTAAAAAATTAAGAAAAAAGTGGTGGCTCAGTACACTTTTGTTTGAATTTTTATTTATTGTCCCGTGGAAACGATCGATCGTTTAAAAATTTAAAAAGTGCTTTTGTTAAAAATTCTCAACCGCTGTTTTTAAAAAGGCGAGCATTGTCCGCATTTTATTATTACGAAAAGGGGGTAAACGTTCTTCGTGAGGTAAATAAAAGGCTATTTTTAAAATGAATTTAATTAAAACTTGAACAATAAGGGCGGGATGTTTTTGATTGGTGAGCAGTTGGACTTGAGCAATTTCCAAATGGAAAAGTGCCGTAAATACCGTTCTCGTATAATAGCATATAAATCAATGGTTAGGTCGCGAGAGAAAGCATATGTTCATGCGGTAAAATTGTGACCTCGTTCGATTCGTTTGCAAATAGGGTCATAAATTTTTTACTGCGGACATTTCTTTCTCACTTTTCGATGTCATCATCGTTACCATTTTCTTGCAGAACACAGAAGCGTCAAAATCATTACAGACGAATTCGAAGAGCATTAATCAAAAATCACCCGATAAAATTCTGTTGCCTTTCTTTAAAAAAAAAAAGCATTTACCCGAGGTACTTTTTGGATTTCCGTAGCCAAATGAAAAGAATGGTACCCGGAATTCTTAGAATTTTATTGGTCACTTCTAACCTCGCGAGAAAATGAAAAAGAAAAATTTACCTAAATATGGAAGCGATATTATCAATTTTTAAATATAATCCTAGCAGAAGTATATTTACGGTAAAGGTCTAGATGATGGCCCCCACCACCTTCGGGGGTGGGAGTGGGAGGGATCGAAAGAGGAGCTCTTCCCCACCACTGTACCATAAGAAGTTCGTGGCGGTCTCACCCCCATAAAAAGTTATGGGGGTTCAAAGTTAATAAATATGCCAATTTTTATANGAAAAGACGATAAAATTTGTAGAATGATTTTGTTGAAAAGTCTGATTTGGCTGTAGGTACTTCAACAATGGAAGCAAAAGTTCTTTATAAAGTTTGCAGCTAGGGGATTCGAGCTGTAGGAAACACTAATAGTAGGTACTACTACCGCCAATAAAAGATATATTGCTTTTTTTTAAATGATTTTCTCAGAAAAAGACAAAGAGTAAAAACAACGAAAAGATTATATTTTACATACGATTTATCCTTTTTAGTTCCCAAGAGCATCATAATTCGTACCTATTTATTAATCTATGGAAATATGTCGATATTCCCTTATTTATTGATGTACTCAATACTTATATCTTTCTGACTGATTCATAATTAGACGGAGAAAATAAAAAATGAAAATTTACCTAAATATTAAAACAATATTTACAACTTATTACACTAGCTCGTTGCTTCGTAAGTGAAAATAATAACAATTACAATTTGGACCCGAATTTGCAAAAATACAATCCCAGCAGAAACAAATTTACTAGGTATTTTAGTTGTTATTACAAATTAAATTGTATTAAGTAAGAAATTTGAAATAATTAAAAAAAAATGTCAAAATTGAGATTATTACAAGTTACCTAATAAATTCTATTGTTTCTACCGGTAATTCAGTCATTTACAACAGAAAATTGTAATTTTTGTGTTACCATAAAAATTTAGTTTTCTCCGTGTTATCACATTTAAGTGCACAAATGCATACAATTATTGATTCCACAAGGTATTCCTTTAGGGCCTTCGCTTTTTTTTGTATTGTATGATTATATATTTATTTAAACAATGACTTCAAATGCGTACTTAGATAATTGCATGGTTGCTAACAAAAGCTGTTATGATAGATAGATAGATGAGTGATTTTATTTTCGCCTTCTCTTTGAGGCACTGTCCCGCCGTTCCCTAAAAAAGTGTAAACATCCCATCGCGTTCGTGATCAGGTTTTTTGTTACTCGCCCTACTCAGATTGATTAACAATGAATTAATCGTTACATTGCTCAAACATTATCAAAATGTTATAGCTTCTGTCATAATAAATCCTTTAAATTATTGGTAGCTACTCTTTGAAATGATCAAATAAGATGTTCCTTTAAAAAATTTTCACATTTTTATTTTTATGTAATGTATAAATCTCATTGCGGTCGCGATAAAATCTTTTTAATTTTCTTTTTTGTTTATGTTATCTTTTGAAAGTTTTTATTTACATGCCTATTTTGTCTATATTAGTCTACGCCATTTATTTTTAGGTCTGACGCTTATCAGTAAATCCACTGTTTTGTCTTTTATTTCTCTGAGTCTAAGATCTACGCAGAATCGAACTTTTTAAGTACTATTTTCGGATTTTCCTGGCAGATGTCTCTCCGGTCGCAATCGACCGAGAAAATTGACGAAATGACGAAAGCATCGATTAAGCCAAGGTCTCGCGGCCATTTTCTCGTACTTGTTATCTGCTTTACGATTAGTTAGCGCTTTCAAGTTGTCGTGTTCGATCCGGTATTGTAAATCTTTCGGTGCATCTTTGATGTTGTTACTTAAAGTGCGTACGTGTAGTGCCGGTTTGTTTATAACAGTTTTATATCAATTCTAAGGCATTGTATTTGTGAAATTGACTTGTTTGTGACTGTAAAATTTGTGCAACCTAGGAATTTATTGGATGACGTAAGGGCATGGAAAATTTTTGGTCGACAACAAAATCGATGAAGCTACTGAAAGGTATCTATAAATTTAGGCTTTCTAGATAACTTTTGTTCTTTTGGATTAAGATTTAATCGTTCATAAAATTAAATAAAAATTAAGAGTAAGAAATTCGTAACAAAAGAATTTTGAACATTTTTAGTTATAACGTATTTGTATGGCAGGTAAATATTAGACGTAGTAGGTACTTCAACACTAGGTAATTCTGGATAATTAATAAATAATAGACATTATTCTGATAACGAATCTTATAAATATGAGACTATGATCCTTCCCGACTAGAAATTGGAAGCAGGTTAGTCCGATATATGTGAGGACCTAATAGGGCTGTCCAATTTAGGGAAGTTTCAGTAAGGTCCTAATGAGGATTGAATAAAGATATCCGAAGTAAGAATATACTTGTCAGGTCCAAATCAGAATGTTTACCTACAGTTTATCCTATCAAAGTAAAAAATTGTTTAAATCAAGTTTTCCACGCTAGGATCTTATCAGGATTAGATCATTTCATGTTGGTAAATACAATTAAATTCTGATCAGAATTGAGTGTGGATAAACTTGATTGGCCAGAATTTAAATATCATCAGATGACTATTCAAAAGAAAATGNAAGAAATGAGCTCCGCAGACAAATATGATTGAATTTGGAATTATGCTACGGCGCATCCTAATAAAGGGAAAGGGCATATCTCCAACTTCTTTAAACGAACAGTAATCGTTATTTTGTGGTGTGTGACTAGGTTGATTTTTCTTCATTACATACAGTGTTTTCTATCGAGTAAATTAAGTTGTGAACTTTTTCCCTTTAGTTGAGCATATCAGCCTGAACCGATAAAATTTTCTACGCTTTCTAAATGCAAACTAAACCTTTAACCTAAAGAAAACGCCTTAACACATTCGATAGATCGTCTTAGTTTTACTCGTAAATTAAGTTTGATAGAAGTGTTGCAAAACGGCTTACAAAGTTTTCCAAGTAAATTAAAGTCGTTTACTAGATACAGGTTACAAAATGTTGGGATAACTTCTTCCGTCTGTACGTTTCTATTTAATAATATTATCATGTACATGGTACCGGAAATGTATGAAATCCGTCATTGTATACAATTCGTAGGAAATGTATATAATTCCTAAAATCGCCCGGAAATGTGTGAAATAAATTATATTAGACACATTTCCTAGGAAATCTATACATTTTCTAAATAGCAATCGGAAATGTATTACAGGTAATACTAAATGGGCAATAATACGGCAGGCTGTTTGGAGATGTACCTGAATCCATTGGTGACGTCATTGTTTTGTTAGGGAGATTTATGATAGACTGGAATATCTTTAATGCCCCCATATGTTAGAGGTAGAAAAATGTGACGAGGTTATGTATGTTACAGCAAACACGATGACCTTGAATTTTTAGTATGTTGTAGAGGTGATAATGCTGATCATTTTTATATAAATATACTAGTGACCCGCCCCAGCTTCGCACGGGTGCAATGCTGATACTAAATATATTTTTGTTTTGTTTAGATTATTATCGAAAAGGGAAAATCTTCAAAAGATACCTCCTGAACATACTAAATATACTACAGAATGTCTTTATATACAACATTCACAGTTTTTTTGTCATTAGACAATACAAACCGGCCTCCCGGCCGGTACCGCCGCAACCGCTATGTCCCTGCATTTTAAATCTGTAATATCTTCGAAAATATTCATTTAAATTACATGCTGTAAAGGGCCATATTGATCTGTATTAAATGCACAATGTATTTAAGGTACTTAATTGGATAAGAATTAATGCTGTATTGCCTACAATTGCTTCGTAAATAAGTGATTATTTCTCATAAAAAGTAAAGGATAAAAATGGTTATTGTGGGTTATCCCTAAGAGATAGATATATACCATCGCGAACTTTTTTGTAGACCCTTTTAAGATGTACAATACTGTAGTACATTATTTTGATCTATCTCGTAGAGTTCAGTCAGCGTTTGCAATGTAAGCGCAAAAAATGTGTTTATTTACATCACATTAGAAACCTCTAAAATTATCAGCGTTTCCCTACTATATTATGCATGTATTATACATGTAAATCTTCCTCTTGAATCACTCTATCTTTTAAAAAAAACCGCATCAAAATCCGTTACGTAGTTTTAAAGATTTAAGCGTACATAGGGACAGACAGCGGGAAAGCGGTTTTTATTTTATACTATGTAGTGATGTTGGGCGCGGAGATCATAATGAAGCATACTTTTCGAAGACATATCAGTCGGGCCGGGGGTTTAGACAAACTCCAATCTGTTATAAATCTACCTAAAAACCATACAATAAGGTCACTAATGCATATACATCTTGTT